ACAGACAACATTTCACTGTGTGTATCTCAATTTTTCATCTCAACTGTCATACTGATGAGTGTAAGCTCATTCATAGGTTTGATTTTTATAAAATTAAAATTAACTATGAAAAGATAGATAGATATGAATAGATTGAGATGGATAGATAGATAGATAGATATGGGATAGATTGAGATGGATAGATAGATATGAATAGATTGAGATAGATGGTGAGATAAGTATGAATTGATTGAGATAGATATAAATAGATTGACATAGATGGATAGATAGATATGAATAGATTGAGATTGTGAAAGATGGATAGATATGAATAGATTGGGATAGATGGATAGACACAAAGAGATGAGATAGGTGGATACGTTATATTAAACGTATGGTAGTGAGAGAAAGGAATAATGAGGATTAGAGTGAAACAACATTTATTGTTGGCAAAGAGTACAGGAATATGGCCGTGTGTATGGGAGGCCAGTTCTGTGGAACTGAGATAGCTGTGTTAACACAAAGGAAATGCCTTGTAAGTGAGTCAAGATAGAGCTGTTCTGTGGAATGGAGGTAGCTGTGTCAACTGTGAAGGGAGTGCTTCATAAGTGAGTCAAAGTAGAGCTGTCTGTAGAATGGAGGTAGCTGTATTGAATGCAAAGATAGTGCTTTCTAAGCAAGTTGAGGTAAAAGATTTCTGTGGAATGGGGTAGCTGCGTTGAGAGCAAAGGCAGTGATTCGTAAGTGAGTCTAAGTAGATCTGTTCTGTAGAACGGAAGTAGCTGTGTTGACTACAAAGAGAGAGCCTTGTAGTGAGTTGAGATAGAGCCGTTCTGTGGAAGAGAGGTTGTCAACTGTAAAGATGCCTTGAGTGAGTCAAAATTAGAGCTCTTCTAACTGGAAGAGAGGTAGAACTTTGTAGTGGTCATGTAGAGCTCTTCTGTGGAAGAGAGACACAAAAGAGAGTGCCTTGTAGTGAGTCGAGGTGGAGCTGTTCTGTGGAAGAGAGGTAGCTCGTCAACTGTAAAAGAGAGTGCCTTGTAGTGAGTCAAGGTGAGGCTCTTCTGTGGAAGAGAGGTAGCTAAATCCAACTGTAAAAGAGAGTGCCTTGTAGTGAGTCAAGGTAGAGCTCTTCTGTGGAAGAGAGGTAGCTAAACTGTAAAGAGTGCCTTGTAGTGAGTCAAGGTGTTCTGTGAAGAGAAAAGAGAGTGCCTTGGGTAATCGGTAAGAGCTGTTCTGTGGGAAGAGAGTAGCTTCGTCAACTGTAAAGAGAGTGCCTTGTAGTGAGTCAAGGTAGGAGGCTCTTCTGTGGAACTAGCTCGTCAACTGTAAAGAGTGCCTTGTAGTGAGTCAAGGTGAGAGTGGAAGAGGTGCCGTCAACTGTAAAGAGAGTGCCTTGTAGTGAGTCAAGGTAGAGCTCTTCTGTGGAAGAGAGGTAGCTACGTCAACTGTAAAGAGAGTGCCTTGTAGTGAGTCAAGGTAGAGCTCTTCTGTGGAAGAGAGGTAGCTACGTCAACTGTAAAGAGAGTGCCTTGTAGTGAGTCGAGGTAGAGCTGTTCTGTGGAAGAGAGGTAGCTACGTCAACTGTAAAGAGAGTGCCTTGTAGTGAGTCAAGGTAGAGCTCTTCTGTGGAAGAGAGGTAGCTACGTCAACTGTAAAGAGAGTGAGTGAGTCAGGTAGCTCTTCTGAAGAAGAGAGGTAGCTGTCTGTAAAGAGAGTGCCTTGTAGTGAGTCGAGCTGTTCTGTGGAAGAGAGGTAGCTACGCCAACTGTAAAGAGAGTGCCTTGTAGTGAGTCAAGGTAGAGCTCTTCTGTGGAAGAGAGGTAGCTACGTCAACTGTTGCCTTGTAGTGAGTCAAGAGCTCTTCTGTGGAAGAGAGGTAGCTAAATCAACTGTAAAGAGAGTGCCTTGTAGTGAGTCGAAGAGCTGTTCTGTGGAAGAGAGGCTACGGCAACTGTAAAGAGAGTGCCTTGTAGTGAGTCGAGAGCTGTTCTGTGGAAGAGAGGTAGCTACGTCAACTGTAAAGAGAGTGCCTTGTAGTGAGTCAAGGTAGAGCTCTTCTGTGAAGAGAGGGCAGCTAGTGTAAAGAGAGTGCCTTGTAGTGAGTCAAGGTAGAGGCTCTTCTGTGGAAGAGAGAGCTACGTCAACTGTAAAGAGAGTGCCTTGTAGTGAGTCGAGGTGTTCTGTGGAAGAGAGGTAGCTACGTCAACTGTAAAGAGAGTGCCTTGTAGTGAGTCAAGGTAGAGCTCTTCTGTGGAAGAGAGGTAGCTACGTCAACTGTAAAGAGAGTGCCTTGTAGTGAGTCAAGGTAGAGCTCTTCTGTGGAAGAGAGAGCTGCAACTGTAAAGAGAGTGCCTTGTAGTGAGTCAAGGTAGAGCTCTTCTGTGGAAGAGAGGTAGCTACGTCAACTGTAAAGAGAGTGCCTTGTAGTGAGTCGAGGTAGAGCTGTTCTGTGGAAGAGAGGTAGCACTAACTGTAAAGAGTGCCTTTGTGGTGAGTCAAGGTAGAGCTCTTCTGTGGAAGAGAGGTAGCTACGCCAACTGTTGCCTTGTGTGAAGGTAGAGCTCTTCTGTGGAAGAGAGGTAGCTATCTGTAAAGAGAGTTTGTAGTGAGTCGAGGTAGAGCTGTTCTGTGGAAGAGAGGAAAAACTGTAAAGAGAGTGCCTTGTAGTGAGTCAAGGTAGAGGTCTTCTGTGGAAGAGAGGTAGCTGTGTAAAGAGAGTGCCTTGTAGTGAGTCAAGGTGAGCTCTTCTGTGGAAGAGAGAGGTAGCCTACGTCTGTAAAGAGAGTGCCTTGTAGTGAGTCAAGGTAGAGCTTTCTGTGGAAGAGAGGTAGCTGTGGAGAGTGCCTTGTAGTGAGTCGAGGTAGCTGTTCTGTGGAAGAGAGGTAGCTACGCTAACTGTAAAGAGAGTGCTTTGAGTGTGAGTCAAGGTAGAACTTTTCTGTGGAATGGAGGTAGCTGTGTTGACTGTGAGGAGCGTGTCTTGTAGTGAGTTGAGGTAGAGGTGTTCTGTGGAATGGATGTCACTTGGGTTGACCGCAAAGGGAATGCTTTGTAAGCAAGTCAAGGTATGCTGAGGAAGGCTGAGGTGATGGCAGGTGTTGGTACTGATGGAGGCCTGTAGCTCAGAGGAATCAAGATAGAGATGTTGAGTCAAAAACTGGATAGCCGAGGTTGTAGGTCAAGCCAAGACATGGTAACAGTTGTTGAAGTGTGCAGTTATGTTGAGTGGTGGCAGTGAAGGCGGCACCTGTAGTAGTACTTTGTGTGGTGGCTGGTCCACAAGTTTGTTGTCATAGTGATGATGTCATGATGGCAGTAGCAGCTGTGGTGTGACAGTCAGCTGCTGGGCTGGCCGCAACTGATCCTTGTTCATCCTCAGAAGCTGCTTTTAAGCAAGTCTGGTAATCCCGCGGGGCGTCTCTTTTACTGGTGGGAACCTTTGCGATTAGCCTCTGCCAGAGTTCATTTTGCAGACTGCATGTCCAATGTGCATAAAACAACTTTTGTTATTTCATCTTATACCTTTGTGGCAGTCACATCTGACCAGCATGCAGAATGATTCGGAATGAGATCTAATTGGAGACAGTATAACAGATAGATATAAATAGATTGCAATAGATAGCTGGATAGATACATATGAATAGATTGTGATAGACAGATAGATAGATAGATAGATAGATAGATAGATAGATAGATTGAGATAGATAAGGGCAAACAGATAGATATGAATAGATTGAGATAGATAGATAAGGATAGATATAGATCAAAATAGACAGATATGAATAGATTGATACAGAGATAGATATGAATAGTTTCTGCCTGAATTAGAGATATCATTATTCAGATTATTTATATTCATACTATTCTCCTCATTTTTGTTGTTATCACAAGGTTTCAGCCATTGTGCTCTCTGACCTTCATCAGGTGTATATTGATTAGGGTAACCTACAGAGAACAGTCTGCTTTACATAGTTTAAATAAAGGGTTCAGTTTGAAATTCCCAGATTGCTATATACCTGATGAATGCGAGAGGACACAATGGTTAAAACGTTGTGATAACAACAACAAAGATGAGAACAATAGCTTAAATGTGAATCATTTAAATAAAGATAAGAATAGATTGAGATAGATAGATAGATAGATAGATAGATAGATAGATAGATAGATAGATTTATATTTCCTAGTGTATATTACACAACTACAAAAGGCAAAAATAGAAAAAAATCTAATAACATTCTGCTGATAATTTATTCATACCTTTATAAAGATTTTTAACATAATTTTCATTTGTAATCATATATATTTCATTTTGGATTTACCAGGGTGTTAAACAGGAGTATTTACATGTACATATAGTACCTAATGATCAAGGGCATAAGATGCAGAGTGACTTTTAAACAAATGTCTGTCCTATCTGATGGGAATTATATCAAATAGATGGATACTGCATTGATTTCTTTTAGAAACACAACCTCTGTCTGTTCTTTTATCTCATCTGCTTGTCAGTTCTATAAATGACTAACCCTTTGTTGTGACATCCTCCTTTTGAAAGTGACCAACAATCAGTTGATTGATAATGTATCAATGACTACAGTCAGTCTGACTAATGACCAATAAGAGATGGGAAATCAGTCAATTGAGGACATCTTTCCTTTACCCAAGGACAATCAGCATCTCACAGCTGGGCCAGAGGGTGGCAGCAATTCAATCCTTGGCTTATTCATTCATTTGATTTCTAATTTGTAAAGGATCTATGTCATATAAGTATAAAGTAGATTGACTGTAATGGTTTTGCATCTTTTCTTCATGATTACATGAAGAGGAAAAATGTTTTAAAGAATTTTAAAAAAGTAACTAGAATGAGGAATAGAAACAGTAATAACAATCAAAGAATTGATTTCCAACATAAAAAGGATCAGGAATTTGAAATGGTTTTAAAAGGCAAGATGAAAAATTTGATCAAGGACCGGAATGATGGAACATGTATCCAGTATGAACTGTTGGTGAGATATGCATACTTAGCATTTTAGAGAAAGAAAGGAAGAGTAAAGGAATAGAAAAAGAAATAAACATAAAGAATGAGTGGCAAAATAGAAAGAAAGAAAATAAAGAATGAGTAGGGAAATTGAAAGTAAGAAAAAGAAAAAAGAAAAAAATGAAGCATGAAAGTAAGAAAAAAGAAAGAGTGGAGAAATAGAAAGAGAGAAAAAGTAAATAATTAGAAAGAGAAAAAGAAATAAAGAATGGTTTAGGGAAATAGAAAGAAAGATAAAATAAAAAAGAGTGAAAATGATATCAGAGTAGAAAGAATGAAATGAATGATAGATATGAAGAAGGAAAAAATAAATAAAAAAAGATTTACAAAAATAAAGAAAGGAATATATAAAACAAAAAATGAAAGAAAGATGAAAAGTTAACAAAATTGAATGCTAGAAAAAGATTAGAAAGATAAATTTTGGTAAAGTGAAAGAAAAAAAAAATGAATAGAGTTGAAAAGTTAGAGAAAATAGAAGTGAAAATAATAGAAATGAAGAATTTAGGCAGTTGGATAAAAGCTAAAAGAGTGACTAAAAACAACCAAAAATAAAATGAAACAAAAAGAAAAAAAACTGCAAAAGACAATGAGGAAAAAAATGAAATCTACAAAGAGAAAATGAAATAAAACAATGAAAGAAAAATATAACCCTGGGTTTTTTCTACCATATACTCTACAAACCAATCATATTGAGCATCATTTGAATTTGTACTTGCCAAAAATAATCTGTCCATCAAAAGAAATATCTGGCGACATAGTGGCTCCTACTTTAAACACTTAAGCCAGCAATATAGTATTTTAACACAATGGTATTCCTAACAGAATGTTATCTGCCAACTACATTCAGCCTGGATTCTATTCTCCTTTCTGATAATTTTTACCATTTTTTCCTCCCAACCTCTATTCATTTTGGTTATGCTGTTGTATCTTCTGGAACTTGCCTTTCTCCAGTCTATCTCACTCCACATATGTTTCACTACCTTCCAACCATATCAACATTCCTACTGATATGTCTGGCAACATTTTCCTGGTGCCAACTTGACTGTCATACTGATAAGATGAGTGTAAGCTCATTCGCACTTTTATAAGTTCTGATTATTCTTGTTTCTTTTCATTTTTTGTTTTATTAAAGTGGAAAATTTTTTTCTTGTTAAGGAAGGTCTTTTATTTGAACAATGAAAATTCATTTGCTTTCATTTACCTTTTGATTACAGAGTAGACCAACAAAAAGATATCATAAAAGTGACAAAAAGTTGAAGAAAGTATGACACAGCATAAAGAAATTATAACAGATGGAGCAAAAGGTTGCTTGATTGGTTATTAATAGATAGCAAACACCATAGACAAAGACTAGTCAGAATATGGAAAGATGACATATGAAACTTTATTGATATAACATTGCTGAGAATTGTATAGTCATATTGTCATGAAAGGAGTTAGAAAAGTTTTCTTTTCAGCAGTAGACTAGCAGCAGATGATGTCAGTTATGAGGCTATTTCAATGTACTTTCTTCTTCTTTTTTTATGTGCCATGTCCTTTCAGAACTTTTGTAATCATGGCTCTCTACAATTTTCTATACTTTGCAACTCTTAATAAATTTTGTCTTTTTGTTATCTCTCTTAAACTCTCTTATTCATTTATTCAAACTTGCTAGATAAGATATGCATTGTTTTCCTCTGCTCCACTTGCTTTCAAAATGTCCTGTGAGTATCAAATTTTACAAGCGCTCTTTCCTCATTATGTGCCCTAGAAATTTGAACTATCTCTTTCTGATTTTAATTATAAGTGTCTGTTTTGTTTTCAATTTCACTAAAACATCATTGCTCACATGTTCAGTCCATGGTATCCTCAACGTCCTTCTATAGAACCACATTTCTATTGTTTCAAGTCTCTTCTTCATCTTTGAAAAGATTATCCAGTATTTACTGCCATATAGGAAGACTGTTATTATATAACAGTTAAGTACTCTTCTCTTTTTTTTTCTTTTCCTGTTTTTTAATATTTTTACTTTGGATGGTATTTTTTCGCTATCCCAATGCACCTTCAGATTTCAATGTTGCCCTTTCTGTCCTTTGTTAAAAACTTTCCAGATATTTAAATTGTTGCATTTCAACAACTTTAAGTACTCATTCACTATTCTTTATTTGATCATATATATGATGCTATATATTATCATGTTATTATTATTATTTTATTATGACTATATATGTTGATTGGTAATTGTAATGAGTAAAGAACATCCTCTTTTATGTGCCATGTCTTTTCAGGATGTAGGAAATCATGGCTCTAGACAACTTCCAATGTTCTGTTACTCTAAGTAACTTTTGAGCCTTCACCATCCCTCATTGTCCCAGATATCCTGTGAATGTCAAATTATCCAATCCCTCTTTCCTCATTATGTGTTCCCAAAATTTTAACTGTTTCCTTCTACCTTTCTGATTCTAAGTACAAGTATCCTTTTTGTATCAATTTTCCTTAAATTTCCTTGTTGCTCTCATCTTGCATCCATCCATAGTATTCTCAGAATCCTTCTGTAGAACCGTATCTAGGTTACATGAAGTCTTCTCTTCATCTGTGAAGAAATTGCCCATATAAGTGAATTCATGTTACATAGCAGTTCAGCACTCTTTTTTTTCCAATGATATTCTCAAATCTCTTAGTGCTTTACTTAGCTTTCCCTCTTCTCTTCAATATATCCTGTGAGTGTTAAATTTTCCAACCTCACTTTTTCTCATCATGTGTCCCTGAAATCTCAATTACCTCTTTCTGAAATTAAGTATATGAACTCTGTCCTCCTCATTCCCATTTTCTTTAAAACTTCTTTGTTGCTCACATGTTCAGTGAACAACATCTCTGTCACATTTAGTCTCTTCTGCTGTGGCAAAGATGTGGATAAATATTACATAGCAGTTCAGCACTCTTTTTTGTATTGATGCAAGTTTTGTGGAAGGCACAGCCACTGTTTTCACAATTATTGTTGTAAATTTCATTAATTATATAATAATATTTGAATAATAATATTATATAAAAACAAATGGAAGCAAACATCCATGAAATTTGATGAACTCTGCACTCTTTGAAACCCCCAGCCTTGAGTTAAGGATACCAAAAAGCCAGCATACGACTGTTGAAATATTTGGATAAAAAGTAGCCTTCAAAAATAACTTAAGCCTTATTATCTTTTTAACATTTATTTATTCATTTAGAACAAAAGAAAATTAAATTTAATTTTCTTTGAATTTTATGAAATTTTATTTTGTAAATAAATGAAATATTTTTTGTGTAAACTTTTTTGTTTAATGAAAATAAAAAAAACAAAGCACTTTCTAAATTAAGAAAAAATTAAATGATTTTGTAGATTCTTCAAAAACAAGATCTGTAATTCATTTCAAATATTTAAAAAACACTGGTAGAAATTAAAATATATCTGGACTTTTAATGTAATAAATAGGATCATTATAATGTTTTAATATTATAGAGAATAAAGTTATATAGCTTTTGTCTATATATTTTTTATAATATATACCAAAATTATATATATTTATTTTTTATAATATAAAATTATACAGCGTTTACTCAAAAATGAAAATAACACTGACATCTCATTTATATATATTTAACAAAATTACACAAAAATATCTTGAAATACTGAACAGTAAATTTATTCAATAAAATCTCTATTGGCTTCAATACAGCCTTCAGATGACTTTGGAATCTCCTGCAACTCTTCTGGAAGTTCTCCTTGTTTAAGTTGGTGAATGCTGCCATAATCCTGGCCTTCAGTTCATCTTTGGTGTTACAAGGAGTTTTGGTGATCTCTTACTCAACTGGGCCCCACACATAATAATCAAGGGGGTTACAGTCAGGTAGAGTTAGGTAGCCAGATTTAAGGGGTGATGTGGTCGCAGAAATTGTCTGACAGCCACAACTGTTTGTGGGGCATGGTCCTCTTGCCAGATATAGGGTCTTCCAACAGCCACACTCTTGACCCAGGGTAGCACAACCCTCTCAAGGCACTTGATGTAAGCCTCTATGTTGAGTCTGTGGCCCTCACCAACGAGTTTGGGAATTCTTTTCTTATCAGAATAATCAGAGTGCATTTTCTGATCTGCTGGATCTTCATAATCATCATTAGACTCATCCAACTCTTTTTGAATCCTCTACACTGTCCTCATTTTGGCACCCAAACACACTGAAATGTTTGTAATGGAGCTTCTGGTATGGATGCCGAGCAGTACACCATGCCATTTCCCAAATTCTGGTGGAGTGAATTGCGTCATGGTGCTCTTTTTCTCACAGATGGTGTCCAACTGATCCTACTATACCATGCAATTGACAAAATCAAAAACAAACAATGCACATGCACAAAATTAAAAATATAAAATGACTATAATTTACCTATCGCACCATGTATATATTTATTTTTTATGATATATATAAAATTATAAAATATAATGATATAATATTATGATATATATAAAATATAAAATTATATATATTTTTTATAATATATATATAAAAATTATATAGCTTTTGGTTATATATTTTTAGCTATTATATGGAATAACATTATATTGCTATTTCTGGAATAATATTATATAGCTGTTATATGGAATAAAATTATATTGCCATTATATAATGTAAAAATAAAATAATTTTTGTTATTTTACGATTGTATTTTTTATAGAGAAATATTTTCTACTATTTATTTTACTCTAATTCCTAATCTTGAATTTATTGACCTTTTCTTATTTTTTTTCTTGAAGCATCAAACTCATTATCCTGGTTAAGTGACTGATCCATAAGACAAGCTTATTAACCCTTATGCTATAATTAACATTATTTCATAAGTCTAACTCAAGGTCATAGTATTTGGGTACCAGTCAGCATTGAACTTGTTAGACAACTTTGCCAATTTTTGTTTTATAATGGGAAGAATTTTTAATTTGGGAAAAAGTTCATTTTATTTTTTATTCATTTCAAAAAACGTTTTCAAAAAAGCTATTTTATCTCTTCTTCATCTAATTTAATTTTCTTCTTTCTTCTTCATCTAATTTAATTTTCTTCTTTCTTCTTGTATTAAGAAAGCAACTTTGAAAAGGTGGATGTGTAGAAATGTTCTTCCATTTTATAACATTTAATTTTTCTTTAAGAATTCATTTGTGGTTTTATTTCAGTCAAATCTTTTTTTATTTAACTTGCTTCTTTGCATTATCAAATAAAATTTGATGGTAGTGTTCTTTTCCTTTTTATTTTGGAGAAATTCATTTTTTTTTACTTATTTCATTACAGTTAGCCACAATTTTGTCACCTATTTATTCAGACATTTGTTTCTCCACTTTTTACATCTTTTTGCAGCATTTATTTCTAACTTGTATTTATTAGATTCTGACA